TTCATTTTTAATGAAGAAAAAATTTACTTACTTCAAGAGTAAGTCTTGATAGATTTATTTTACTTAATAATTAATGTTCTATATCAAATTTTTAAAAATTTAATTGTTAAATTAAAAAACTTTTCATATATTGATCAAATTTATAAAATTTTTTAAAAAATTAAAAATCATATGATACTTCGTTAAATTAATTCAAATTAACATATAAAATATTTTTGTTTTAAATGAATGTAAAAATTTAGAGGACACTAAAAGAAAATAAATTAATAATTTTATTATGTTTATCCTATTAATTTTTATCATTTTATTCTTCTAATTTTAAATAAGTTGCAAAAAATTATAAAGTGACACTTAAATATTTCTTCAGACAGAAAGAGAAAAAGAAAAAATTATTAGTCTATTTATAAGACAATTGTATTTTATAAAAATAAATAATTTTAAATTTTTTACCATAAAAAAATATTTTTCAAAATTTTTATATTTTTTAATAAAATTAACAAAGAATATTCTATACTCAGTCTTGGAACGGGCCGTTCTGGATTCCAGAACGGCCCGTTGTGAATCCAGAACGGCCCGTTCTAGTTTCAGAACGGGCAATTCTAGTTCCAGGTGTTTTCAAAGAATTTGGCGTCCACGTGGTATCCACGTATGGTTCTACGTGGCATCCACGTGGCCAACAGTTAACTCTGTTTAAATAATTTGGACGGAAGTGCCAAATTGAAACCAATTAACTTATGAGGGACCAAATTGAGACCAAAAATAAAAGTGGAACTAAATTGAAACAAATAATTATTATAAGGGACCAAAATAGGTTTTTAACCTATTTTATTTTACCGTTATTTGTCTCCCTAACTATTTAGTACCATAATTAATATACATAAAGATTGGTAGTTCAATTCTAGTTGTCCATTAAACATGATTGCATGGACATAGTAGTTCAGTGGACAACCAATTGGATCTAGAGCTTTACCAGCAAGTAACATGTATATGTTAGTTCAAAAATGATTCCACTGTCATAAACCAATTCTACAATATTTGTTAAGAAATGATCAAGAAAATTCAAGGCAAAAACGCCTTATGTAAGGGAGAAATAAAAATAAACAAGGCAGGGTGAGGTAGGAGCATAGTGCTCAGCAAAGTTTTCAAATACAAGAAAGTATAACTTTGCATTATGACAAGGCATTCATCGACTTCCATCACCTGTCGATAACTTGAGTGTGAGGAATACGCTGCTACACTTGATCAAAGCAGAAAAAAACTCTACGCCATGTTTTGTCATCCTGCCCTTTCCTAGGCAAGTCCAAATATTAAAATACTAATTAGAAATTGAGATTGCGAAAAATCTCTTATGGTAGCATTTACATAAAATATACTTAGTACAACACAATTCCCCATTAGCAGGACATGCATATTGATTCAATTTGACATCTCACTTTATGCTGTCACAGTTTTCTATATAGAATTCATTGCTATGCAATAATAGTTGTAAATTAATAATTTCATATAAGTCCAACCTTATTCTTATCTTTTTAAGTAAAATCCACACCATTGCAAGAATCCATTTCACATTAAAAATGATTATGCATAAGAAAACAGTTGATGGTTAGCATTTGCTTGCAAACAGTAATGCCTAAAGGAGGGATAATTAGATCCCACCGAACCTAGGATCTTCAGAATTTGGGTGTTATTAGGAGCAATGCTTGCAATTTTTTTTTCCCTTTCCTCCTCTACAAAGAACCATTTGCATAACCCATAACATCAAATCTCAGCCAGAAAGAGGAGCACAGCATTTCAAGTTACTTCCAAATTAATTAAATCTATTCAGGATGTGCCAGTGTCAAAGTATATAATCACATCCCAAGAATGCTATTCTCGGATAAGTTAAAAAATGTTTGGTTATAATTTAATATTTATTGGAATATTTTTCTTAGTTCAAATCATAAAAGTGGGAGTGGGCATGTAAGTTACAGGATGTTATTGGTTAGGTTATATGATAACAATATTCCGACCCCTAACCAAGAAAGCAAAAATAAAGAAAAATAAGGGTGAAACTATCATGGAAATCAACAGTGCCAAAAAAAAAAAAAAGAAAAGTTTTAAAGCTTAGGTCAAACACAGGAGTGTCAAGGTATAAAGTAACAAAGCTGAACACACCATCAAAAGCAAGTATCCTAAAGCTCAGTCAATGAATGCTGGTATGTTATAGAACTTGAGTAGCCTAAACTTAAATTAATGGTGGCCTGTTAACATATACGAGTCAAGTAAGATCTCCCTTCTCATGCTCTATATAAGTCTCACACATGTATTATAGCCTGTTTGGTTTTGCATTAGTTTTGCACATGATCACGTCAAATTCCCAATTTCAAGTAAAATCTACTTCATGTATCTTCTCATATAGTCATTTTTACACAGGTTATCAGCTACGGGGAAAAAAGAAAAAAAAAACAAACAACCAGCCAAAAACTTTCTAATTCCTTGTTAAATCATGGAATCCCTGTTGAAGCACAAGTCCAAGAAGAAAGCACCTCCATTAAACACAGCTAACAAATTTGCAGGCAACAAGGTTTTAAATTACACTAGCAGTTACGTTGCAATTATCATAACTTGGTGAGACCAAAAATCATAGAACTTAATGTAGTGCTTGAATAAAAAAGATACAAACAAATGGGATTCATACTCTCTTGAGAGCTTATTGAACTAGTAACTAATAACCAACAAAACTAACTAACTAATCTCAACTACCACAACTAACGGGACCAAAATCACGGCAAATGCAGCTAACGGGACCTCAATTACGGTCTCCCAATGAAATCTTCCAAAACAATAGCTGCAGACCGCAATTCAAAACCATGCAAGCAACATATGAAACACAAAAACAAAAAACACAATCAAATAATCCTAAAGAAAACACATCATCTTATTAGAACAAAGCTAATCAAGGGGTTTAGTTCACTTAGTTGAACAGTGTGTTAAGAGTGCTGTAAACCCCCTTGGTAAGTTGGTACACAAGTTCGATTCCCATGGATCAAAACAATAGAACAAAGCTAATCCAATCCCCCAAGCACCAACAATGAGCAACACAACACACGTTGTACCTTATTATTCCATGGAAACCTTAGCGCCAACCTCCTTCATCTTGGCAATAATACTCTCAGCCTCTTCCTTGGTGACCCCTTTCTTCAAAACCGCGGGCACCTTCTCCACCAAATCCTTCGCCTCCTTCAGCCCCAAGCTCGTGAACGTCCTCACCTCCTTAATCACCTTGATCTTCGCCGCCGCGTCGAAGCCCTCCAGCCTCACATCAAACGCCGTCTTCTCCGCCGCCTTCACCTCCTCTCCGCCGCCGCCGCCGGCCTTCGGCGCGCCCCTCGGCACGCCGCGCAACCCCATTCCCGGCACCATGAGCATGGCGAGCGGAAGCTCGTTGACGCCGCGCTTCTCGCGCATGACCTCAACGAGGTCCATCACTTCCAGCAGCGTCAGCCCCATCACCTCGTCCACGATCGCCGACACCTTCTCCGAACCCTGCGACTGCGACTGCGACTGCGACTGCGACTGCGACTGCGACTGCGACTGCGACGCGCTGCTGCTGCAGTCGCGCGCGTGGGGCGCGATTGGGATCCGCGCGGGAGCGAAGCGAGGGGTTAGGGTTTTGAGGAGATGCGATGATAGGTGCGTGAAGCGCGAATAGTACCTCATTGCTGATGGTGGTTGACGAAGCTAGTGCTGAGTTTTCTTTCTCAACATCGCATTGAATTTGAATGTGAAGTGGAAGAAGCGGTTGGAGCGTGACGGTTTCAGTGACTGTGATGAGTGTGGTGTGAGGTGTCACGGTCTGGGTCTTCGCCCTAAACCATACACGAAGACGATGCTGCTGTTTTTTTTTACGGTTATGCCCCTCCGTTTACAGGGAAACACACTATGATTGAAGATGCTCCCACGGGTTTGGGTTTGGGCCGGGCCTGTTTTATTTGGGTCATGGCATGCGTGTTTGGGCAATTGCTCCCTGCACTCATCCAGTTGCTTCATACGCCTATATATTTTTCTTATTCTTGTAAGTTGTAACACCCCACACCGACGTTACTGTTTCTCTTATCCAAAGGAGAGAATTAGAAGAATTAAAAATTTTGTTTGATACGAAAGGAAGGGAAGAACCAGTGTTTTAAAAATCAGCTCCCATCGGACTGGTTGAAATGAGAAACATGAGAACAACATGAGAATAAAATCCCGCATATGGAAACATAAAGAGTCTTTCAATGCATTGATTTGTAATATGTGTAATTTAAATATTTTTTATAGTATATTATTAATTTTAAATTATATATTTATTAATATAATATATATATTAATATTATATATATATATATATTATTTTATAATATTAATTACAAATATATTATATTTATATATATATATATA